AGTGGCGGCGGCGGCGGCGGCGGTGCCCAGGCTTCGCCCGCACGATAACCGCACCATGGTGGAGATCATCGCCGATCACCCGGCCGAGCTGGTCCGCACCGACAGCCCGAACTTCTTGTGCTCCGTGCTGCCTTCCCACTGGCGCTGCAACAAAACGCTCCCGGTGGCATTCAAGGTAAGGAGAGCTGGGCGAACCTTCATCAGGGCCCCCACCCCGCCCTTCCCGGTGGCCCAAGGCAATTTCCTCCGGGCCAGGATAAGGGGCAAGAGTGATAAGTCAGGGCCTTGGCACCCACTGCATACGGCTTGGCTTCGAGGGAAGTGTCAGCCTTCGCCACTACTCTCCAGGAGCACCTAAGCTCCCCCGGTATGCACTTTGCATCAGCTGGGAATTACCCATCTCATAGGCACCTGGCCGTCTCCTCTTGGGGGGAACAGTCCTCACCATATGGCCGCCTCCTCCTCCCTGCCTGTTTTTCGCGCGTTCCTTGTTATTGGCACGTGTGCTTCTCACTTTTCCTTAGATCCTTAGAAGTCAGGGATCGTCTCCTCTCCCTCTCCTACCCTAGATATCTGGGTGGCCAAAGGATCCTTCCTTCTTTAAGAAAAGTACAGAAAAAGCTTGAACACGCATTCATATCCTGCCACTAAGAGAGGACATGCGTTCCCTTTTAAGATAGGATATTTGAGTCCTTTGCCACCCCAGATAGAAGGCACTATATATTTATGGCAGTAATCAAGGAAAACAGGCATACCCTTAATCTCAGTTTTTAGGCGGGAGACCTCAGGGAGATTTCAGTTTCCCAACCCTCTATTAGCTATTGGTTTCCTTGCCATATAGGATGCCTGTAAATAGTTCATAATCAACACTTACCTCCCTCTTATTAGCTCCAGACTGAAGTTCATCAGCATATTATTAGCAAACCGCCTAGTAAGACTAACAAGAATTAGAGCAAGGTATTAATATATACTGAAGGTATTTCAAATAAAATGACCCCAGCTGTTACAAAATGTTTTCCACAAATAATGATAAAGATACGATTCATCTAATTGACCATCAGGGTCAGTTAGACACTCCAAGACATCAGGCAGAATCTCTGGGGGAAAACTGAACTTAGGGGCTAGCTCTCCCCAGTGTTTCCATCATTTAGTCCTAGAAATCTTCCTTTTACTGACCCATCCTTCTAATGTCATTTTAACTTTTCTGTTCTTTTTTTTTTTTTCACAACCATAAAATGGGTGCCTGTTCTAGGAGCACTTTGAATGCGTTGATGTTGATCTAAAAATAGAATTCAGCAGAAGTTTCATTGTGGGAGGTGCCTTTTTTGCATCAGTTGTGTCTGTTGTATCTCTCCAGGGCATTAGATAAAAAGTTCTGCTGGAAGCTGTTTAGACATACATCTTTAATAGAAGGTGTTTTGTTGATTCACGGAGTAATGAGATTGAAGGAGCCTTTAAAACTAGTGACAGAAAGGATAAGCTGTTGTTTGGGTCTGGGTGGGGGTGGGGAATTACTTTCTGTTGTGGGGGGGGAGACTGTGTTAGACTCCTGCTGGGCAAATTAGGAAGTGTTTGCCCAGAAGGGTGAGTTTGTTTCCTTGTTTTTGTTGGCCAAGGCAAACAGAGCCAGCATTTTTAACATGATCACAGATCAGTGAAATGCTACTCAGAACTGAATCAAGAATGGCTTCGTTAATTTTCTTCAGTATACTCACACCCACATTTTAGGAAAGGTAGAATGCTTCTTCCACTTTCCTTTCTCTCGTGCCCATTTTCAAAATCTTCAGCTGTATCTCTATTTCTGCACTACAGATTTATGCCTCCCCTTTTCTTCTATTGTGGGATGATTCTTGTCCAGTAGGAAAGGAATAATAGCTAATACATAAGAAAACTAAACATCTCACATGGAATATATATATTCCATGTATAGTACATCTATATTATATTTATACACATAGAGACAAAATATGTATGAAGTACATGTACCCATATTAAATATCTATAGAGATGGAAAATGCAAAAAGGTTCATTGAGTCCACCATATCTAACCCGTATGCAAGCGCCTTTTCCCCTAATATAACAGCCAAAGCTACACGTAATTCTGAGTTAAAATAATGCATGGTTTAAACAATTGAGAGGTCAGCATTCTCCAGAGAGTAGAATATTAGTACTGAAAAAGATATTTTGTTCATAAATTATAAGACGTTATTGAGCTATTAGGGAAACAGTTTGGTGTGGGAATTTAGCTGTATTCAAGCTTTTATTGGTTTGTTCTAAACAAGCAATGACCTTTCCAGTTGGAGCTTTCTGGGAATAGTAGCTAAATCATTGGAGAAGTTAATATGCCATGTGGTCTTGCCACAGCCTCAGCAAAATGGAGTTTTGTACTGGGTTCCAAGCTCTCTGGACAAAGTTTTAGATGCCTTCAGTTTAGTTTCAGTGGCCATCTGTTACAGGATAAAAATGTTATATGCTGGGTTTTGTATTATGGGTTGGAAGGATGATAGATCTTTATCTGAATTCATCAACAGCTTGGATGCAATATGTACCCATGCCTAGAACCACTGAGAGAGATCTCTTCCTTAGATCTGATTACTGTCATTCTCTGTTGTAACTTGGCATGGTAGAAGTTGCAGCTGGCAAGTTGAAAAAGACATTAAAAACTCTTGCTTGTGCATGTATGTTTGTGTGTGTGCACGCATGCAAGTTTGATTTCTGCTTGTACATTTGCCAAACGTGTTCATGGCTTTTCAGTTTGAATGAAAAGGTCCTGGCAGGTACAGGGAAAGTTTCTTTTCTGTAATAATGTTGATGTGTGATAAATTACACTGTTATCGGAATTTTAACCCATGGAAAATAAACATGCTTCTTTCAAATTATTACTGCCACCTGCTGAGTTGTAAATGTTAGGGAGGTGACGTGGGAGCCTAATCTTAAAATGCTCACATAGAAGTAATAGTATCAATGACATTTAATTGACAAACAGACCAGATATATAGCTATAGGTATGCATATATATTTATACCAATATTGATTTGAGGTGGCATCACTAAGATGCCACTATGCATATTAATTATATATGGCTATATAGTCTACATAGTAAAAAAAAGGTTGTGATACAAAATATAAAGGCCTGTATTCTGAATTTTTACTGGTTTATGATGTAAATAAAGCATAAAGCAGTACAATTTGCTTATACAGTACCATTGTACTGCTACAGATAAAGACCATACTGGGAAGAGCATTTTTAAAATAAAATACTGGTAAAAGTTTCCCCTAAATACTTCTCATAAAAGGACCTGAAGTTATTTGGAAGAAGATTATTCTGAAATCAGCAAGGCATGATTACAAATACATGTATTACAGGATTCAAAGTGATTGCTCGTATTATCTATCATCTGATGAATTTACTTCAAAGGCACATAATATATAGAAGCTTCTTGGAAAAAGCAGATTTTTACACTATTTTGGTTTTAATAGTAGTACTGAATTGCATACAGCTCTACTGAAGTATCATTCAAATATCAACTGAAGGAAATGGATTTATTTATAAAAAGTCTTTAATTGGAAAGTAATCCCACATGGTAATAATGGAATGAAATGTCAGTTGGAAATGCATGTTGACTTGATGGTAAAATAGATCATTCACCATGGGTAAATGTATCTGAAGCAATGGTTTGACTGGAGTTTTAAAAATGTTGGTAAGATTTTCAGCAGTACCTTGAAATGCCCTCTCACTTGTGGTAGAGAGAGAGTGTGTTATAAGCTGGACTGCTTTGGGCTATATATTGTTGTAATTGTATTGGTCAAGCATTACTGAAAGGTTATCTTCATAACTGGGGGCAGAAAAAGTTGGAGAGAAGTCCTGATTGGATTTACTGAGAAATAAGACTTGCAAATTCTGCCTAAACATTTTTTTAGAACTTTTATCTGTTTGTTTGTTTTTTTTTTAAAACCTTTCCCCAATAAAATGGGAAAATGTTAACATCATAGCTTTATTTAGTAAATTAAGAGCTGCTGAAAAAAAAAGATATTAACTGAAATTTGTAACTGTTCCGTAACACAAGTTGGAAGCAATGTGATGCACATTTCATCTGAAATCATCTCCTTCCATCAGTTTCCCATGAATCATTCTGTATAGTGGGGCTGGACTAGGAATCCAGCATTTGACCCACTGGTAATGTTTTAATGTTTCTTTTAGGGGCACTAATTATGTTTTCACAAAGACACTGCGCCCATTCATCATATCACTTGCTCCAGAGAAGCCTTATTGGAGTCAGTGGGACTTTACCAAAGTAAGTGGCTGAAGGAATGTAGTCAGAATTATTAGTTACTCAGGTCCCTAAATTTTTGCTGACCTTGATGACGCCAGTAGAAATAAAAAGCTTGTAAGATAAAAATAATAGCAGCAATAATTACATTCGGTGGGAAGTAATAATGCTGTTCAGTAGCATTGCAGTCATCCATGATGTCTCCATTTCTACCAGAACCTCAGTTTTCAGTTGGATTCAATAGCCTCAAGCTAAGATCCAGAAAATAAATGGCAAGCATAGTGCTATTTTTGTAATTAAAAATACTGTAATTCAAATTGGGTATTTTTATGTTACAGCAAAGGCTCCACATTAAAGAAAAAACTTAGTTGTACTTTTGGCAGTTTAGCTACATAAAAATCATTTTAATAACAAAGGTTTAATACTATTTAAATTCAATGTGTATGTTGCATTTTATAAAAGATACCACAGTATGCAGTGTTAGTTACTGCCTTAAAATATTTTTAAAACATTTGTTGAGGATAGTTGCTCAGATAAGATTTTTATATGATATAGACTATTGCAGACTAACATTGAAACAGTTATGTTTTTAGTTTCCATCTTGATCATTGGACTGAATATGGGAAAAGTTAAAATAGCTGATAAAAATGTAATTCTTCAACCTTTTAGAAAATGGTTAATGTTATCACTGTTTTAAACTGTAATCCAGAATTCCTTTAATTTCTAGTGTGGAAAACACAAATTCTCAAAACATGACAACTTTGGAAATTATGTATATAGAAACATGCAAGAGGCTAAGAACAATTCTTATTGTTCAAGTGGAAGTGCGCTCTCATGATGTTGTATACATGTTGTATTTCTTAGAAACAGCTGTACACATTGGATCACTAAAGGTATTCATTTACACTTTAGTACATTTCACAACATCAAGGAGGTTATATTTCATGTAAATTCTAGATAACTTTAGAAGCACTCATTATGTGTGCCCTAAAAATCTGATTTATATTTTTATGTAAATAAATTACTTTTACAAAGTAGAACTGCTTAAATCATTGGATCTCAGTTAGGTCCACGGAACAGAACCGATTATGGATCCTGTTGAGGTGGTCATTTTGGTGTGTTTGTTAAGTCATTCTGTGTTCTAGAACATTTCTGCTAATATTTTCAGAAAAGTCCATTTTCTTGTCTTGTAAAGACAAGGGGGGAAAATACAAAGAATGGGATTTGAGACAGTCAGAATGTTCTAAGATTTGAGGGTAGTTATCACCTTGTAGAGTTTTTTTTCCCCAAAGCCTTGGCCTCAATTTCAGTATACAAGGGTTTGCCTCACTAGACTTCTTCTGACGTAGTCTTGCTTGCTTCTGTCTTCTACTGATATTTTTAAAATGTCTCACAGAAGACAGAGAAAGGAGTTCTCCTTCCCCAGATCTTTCCTCCTCAAATCCAGGGTCGGAGAAATGATCTGCCATCACTGTACATGCATGTTACAGGACTGCATCTTCTATGTTTGCCTCATTTTCTATGTGTAGTATTCTATTTCCATATTGCTGGCCAGCTCCTTCTACTCACATCTGCCAACAACAGGAGCTAATGGTGGTGGTGGTGTGTGTAAGCATATTCCAAATAATAGGCTAAGGGGCAGATATTCCAAAATACATAAAGTAAATCATTTTTGGGTTTCTAGGTAAAATAAAGTAACTATATTTTTCAAGATGGTATGCCATCATTGGGCAAGTTGTGGATACCCATGATTCACATTTAAGACTGTAACTAGGCTCGTTTTAAACTGGACTGCATTTTATATCTTGATTAATTTTAGCATTAAATCTAAGTTGGGCACCCAGTTAGTAGGTTGGATCTAAATTTTATTTTATTATTTTATTTTATTTTATTTGTGCCTTCAAGTCATTGTTGTCTCCTGGCGACTGCCTGGACAAGTCCCTGCAGTTTTCTTGGCAAGATTTTGGAAGTGGTTTGCCATTGCCTGCTTCCTAGGGCTGAGAGAGAGACGACTGGCTCAAGGTCACCCAGCTGGCTTTGTGCTCAAGGCGGGACTAGAACTCTCCCAGTTTCTAGTCTGATGCCTTAACCACTACACCAAACTGACTTTCTGGATCTAAATGTAGAATGCTATTAATAATAATTCATTCTTTCCAGTTTTATATGTCCTAATAATGTTTGTATTGTGTTGTCCAGAATTACAAAATAGCCCTGGGGATAGTTTGAGAAATTAGGAATGGGAGAAGTTCAACTGGTTCACTTTCCATTATAATAACTAGTGCAGAAAACAACTCTGTGCCCAATTCTGAGCCCTCCCATGTTTGCCTGATGAAAGCAGGGACAATGGATATAACGTATATGCACTTTATATCATTGGGACAATACTGGTTCCATTTTACAGCTGAGGAATAAGGACACACAACAATAAAGTGGGATCAGGCAGCATCTACAGAAATAACAGTGCTACTTATTATGTACATAGTTATTTCGTCTCACTATTCTGCAATTCAGTTTCCTTCTTTGAAATAATTGAAACAGCAGAGCTTACAAGGGGATATGATTGGTATCCCCCACATAAACTAAAGTTGTAGCACCTACGGTGCTAGTGTTTCACAATGCAAGATGGCAACAAAATTCTTTCTTCCACATGAGAATACATTCTCCCTCCTTGTTCTTTGAGGAAGGCTTCACAAAATCAGATCCTTTTTCTTTTTTACTGCACAAATTTCTTCTAATAGAATAAAAACTCATTCCATGACCTCTTCCTGGCTTAATGTGTGCCTGGTTGCATGATTTGGAATCAAGTGGGAGTGATTTAACTTCTCCTTTAGAGATTTTGTAGTCATTTAGGTTCCTTGCTCCCATTGGCTGGAAGCTCTTTGTGCCAGATGATGAAACAGGCATAAGTCAACTAATGTGGAACACTTCAAAGTCCCTCTGATTTCAGCAGAAAGTTATTCATGTACCTATGACTGATTTATTCTTTTATCATCAGCTGAATTGATTCCTAGATGCTTAACCTTGAATCTATTTACACCAATAGGAGCCTTGTGCTGAAATCGTGAATTCTCAGTTGTTCACAGGGTGGCTGAAATAGATATAATGATGAGAAATGCAATCTGAAAGCAAAATTGAAAATAGATTTTGTCTAAGATACATATAGTTTATTGTAATTTCTACAGTCATATTCGTTTCTTGGTTCACAAAGCTTTGGGCATCTATTTGGTCACTTGCAATATAGAAACAGAAACCCAAAATATACTTGACAACTATCTTCATTGTGACTGTGTACTTTATTTCTGGGATGTTACAGAAATGAAAGTGCTACCTTATAGCTCTGTGAGATCATAGGAATAAACAGTTTAACATACTGTGATAAATGCAGATTCCAGGTTCAATGAACTGTACTTCTGTGGCCTGAAAGATGCAAAATACTTAATTTAAAATGTGTAGGAATGTTATTTTCTACATTTAGAATGATTTGGTTCTGTTCTGTTTGGTTCTGTAGGTAACTCCTTTGAAAGATAAATAGCCTAAGGAGAAACTATGTTGAATATAGAAACTTGACAATTAAAACTCAGATTCTTAAACATAATTCTCATATTTTTTCAACTTTTGCCCGATAATCATGAGAACTAGAATCTTTTTCTCTTCTTTTACTTTTTGTAATTTAAAACAAAATAAAACAGAGAGAGACTTATTCCATGAAAGAAAGGTGGATGTGTAGACTGTAGTAGAATACACAGATGTAGGAATCCTAAGAATCAGCATAAGAACATACTTTCATGCAAACATCATCTTTCCTTAAAAATTAGAGCATAGGAAGTCCCATGTGGTTTCTGGAGGTATGCTGAGTTAGCAGTCTTGGAAAGCCAAGATCTACCCTTAACCATTTTGTGGGGACTATGGAATGACATCATACATGTGGGTAAGGAGGGGTATTGGGGAAGTTAAGCAGTTTTTCATTGGTGGTTTGTCTGATATACCTATTTTAGGGCTTACACTACAGTTTTAATACGTTTCTCACTGAAAAGGCAGACAGTTGCACTGCCTGTTTTAAAAAAGCATGGTGAAGGTGAGTTCTGAGGGCCGCAGAATTGGGATTTGGGAAACTCATATCAGTTTGAGGCCACCTCCAGTATAATTATTGCCAGTGTTGTGGCTTGTGGCTAATAATTGAAGAACCGGTGTTTATTAAAGCCCTATTTGGCCATGGAAGTCACATGAGTAACAAACTTGTAAAATGGGAAAGTGGTCTTACTCTACTGTTGCATCTTGTCCTGCTCTTGTATGCATTTGGGTTCATGTCTATTGTAGGCAGCCTATGCGCACAATTTATCTTGTGGTATAGAAACCAGGGCTCCATACCAAGGAGGAAGCCACTGTGTCGGAGCTTCCTATTACCAAAATGCCCATACCACAAGGAGTGGAATCATAATCAGTTGAAAAATAATGGCCTGGTCAGCCTGAAAGCTCCCCTCTTCTGCTGATACAATTAAGAGCGCAAGTCACACTAACAACCAAGTATTTAGTGGTTGGTTTGCAACAGAGAGCAATTAAGAGGTTATTGTTATGTCTTTACTGTCATAGGTGGTGGCTTTAGGAGAAGTCCCTGATGGGACAGTGGTCACAGTCATGGCTGGAAACGATGAAAATTATTCTGCAGAGCTGAGGAATGCCTCAGCTGTAATGAAGAATCAAGTGGCACGGTTTAATGACCTGAGATTCGTTGGCAGAAGTGGAAGAGGTAAATAATTTCATTACAGATTTGTTAAACAACAGCTGAAAGCAAAGTCAAGACCTAAAACTGAATCCATTGATACATTATTATTAAACTTTCATTTATAAGTTAAATGTAGGCTGCAACATTCTTTAAGTAAGCCTGGTCACCTACTACAGGATTGTTTTCCTCTGGCTATATATCTTTTTCTTTTTTTAATG